CATATTTTGACATCACAAATGGGTGGGTTTTGGTTGTGGACAGAACTTGTAAGACTACACTTGCTTTATTTTTCCTATCTGACCCGGTAGTAGATTTTAGCAGTAATACCTCCAGCAAAAACAAGTTTTAAAAAATTGTTCTCTCCATATATATTTCTGAGAGACAGAGCTCCTTAATTATCAGACAATGATCCTTAATTCTTATCTGAGATTTTTCAGATACAGGTTCAAACTCTCTGGTTCAGGACTTTCTGGTTGGCTGGGGGACCAGAAGGGCTGGGAGCAGATCTGAGCTAGTGACAGGGAGCTGGGGCAGCAGCCAGGAGCAAAGGTTGGCCAGAAACAGAGCCATTTTGGTAGCCCAGGGCAGGGAGCCTGGCTATGGCCAGGAGAAGAGCCTGGTGGCTGGAGTCAGGAGCAGAGTCAGTCGCTGTAAGAGGAGCCTGGGAGGAGGTCAAGGTGGTCAAGGAGTGGAGTCCGGCATCTGGGTGGCAGGCATCCCCCCATAGTCCCAGGAAACCCCAGAGTCTGGCAACAGAGGAGGTGACATTGACCGCCTCTGGTTCTGCAAACTCCTTCATTCGGGACTGGTCAGGTCCCAAGGGTGCCAAACCAGGGAAGTCCTACCTATATTATTAATGAAGAATGGTATAAATAAACCCTATATGATCAGGCACTTACCTGCAACTAAGAGTAGACCAAACTTTAAATAAGTAAAAAAAGAGGTCAGATGCTCACACTGGTTCTGAGCAGTCATGTAGCAAATTTTTTATTCTCTTTGTTGCCAGACAACAACATACCCTAGCAAAATAAAGTTATAAAGAGACATGTAAATCAGTTATTATTGCTTGTAAATGAAATGTTCTTAGTGTCTAACATTTTGGAAAAAACATCTGACTGAAAAAAAAAAAACAGTGTGAAAAATACTTGAAAAAAAGTTTCAGCTTTTCCTAATTTGGAGGCTTTGTTTCCCCTGTTGAACAATACAAAGCTTCAGCTTGCATTTCATTGGGCCTGCATTAGCATCTGTATATATTACACACCCAGTTATGGGCAATATTTGCCACTTGAGAATTTTATAAGAAAAAATAGAACGTTACTTAGAATTGTTACGGTTCAATGTCAGCTTCACTGATGTCAATGGCAAATCTCCAGTTGATTTCAGTGGATAAGTCTACTTGCTCCCTGTGACTGTAAGTCTCAGAATGCTGGTCGACTTGGGCTCAGAGGTCTTGAGTTACGGTGCAGTAGTTAACTAGACTTTCAGGCTGGGGCTGGAGTTTGGGCTCTGAAGTCCACTCTCTCCCCTATCACTAGTCTAAGCTGTAAGATTCATTGGTGAGGGCTGCTGCTCGCTTTGTAGATTTCCTTCTTAATTGACTGGTGGGTGTGGGATGTGTGTTGTGGCATTTTTGTGTCATCTAGGTATATTATTACTTATTGGAGAATAAATATTAAATATGTGCTTTGCACATTGTTTAATTCAGCAAAGAAAGGGTTCATTTTCTTTGGACCATCTGCACAAAGACTAAGCTGGAGTCCATATGAGCTGCTGCATTCCTGTTGACCAGAATCACTAGGGAACAGTAAAAGGTGATACATTGTTGCATATTGTGCTGGACTCCAGCTGTGTCCATTTAATTAAGTTGAGTCTGGTTTTGCATGCTGAGCTTCTTTTGGATGACACTCGCTGTTTTAATCATAAATTCCTAGGAATTCTTTTTAATACTAAATGTGAATGACTTTTGGTAGGCAAATTAAGCAGTTTCTTTTTAATTCTTCAATACATAACAGAAACTGGGTCCTAAAAGGTTTCAGGGGTAGCTGTATTAGTCTGTTTCAGCAAAAACAACAAGGAACTTTTAACAATTTTATTATGGCATAAGCTTTTGTGAGCTGCAACTCACTTCATCAGATGCATGAAGTAAAAGACAAAGGAAACAGGATGGATACAAAGATGGGAGATCACGAAAGCTTATGCCATAATGAAATTGTTAGTCTGTAAAGTGCCACCAGACTCCTTGTTGTTAAGTCCGAAAATGTAACTCTGCTTCCTTCAGATCTCCAACTCCACCCAATAACCACTGAAAGAACTCAAGCTACATTAATCCTGTCCATGAGACCATCAGGCTATATGCACAGTCCACATATAACTGAGTATATTTGACCTCTTTTACAAACTTTTAAAAAGAAAAAAATTAAAAACCTAATTCTTCATAATGGACAATGTGCGATTAAAAGAATTTTCAGTCTTCAGAGACAAGCTTATTTTACAACCTTTGTGTGGTTTTATGAGTTATGAATGATCATGAAATGTTTCAGGTATCACACATTGTCCAATGGCATTTATTACTTTGGTATCTACCATATACTTGAGAGAGTTTGTCTGTATGTTTGTCTGTCTGTCCAAAAACACCCCCTAAATGTTAAGAGCTAGGACCACCAAATTCGATACATTGCTTCCTCTTAACATAACTTAAAACAAGGTGAAGTATTGGTTGTGCCAGGAAAATGGGGTGGGCCTGGAATGAGATTTCTTCCCCAAAATACATACTGAAAAGAGCCAGAATCACCAGGCAGGTGAAGTGGGTTTGCTGGGTGTTTTCCCCCCATGCTGTCTGGGACTGCCCTAGCTCTGAGCCTCCCACCTCCAGGCAGCCTTTAGGGAGGATGAATCTTTCCCCCTCTCCTCATTCGTACAGGAACATTGCTGGCTGTTCCCCTTCCTCAGGGAGCCAGGAGAAAGTGCACAGTTTGCTGCATTCCTTGGTCTGGCTGTGGAGAGCAAAGGACAGATAAACCTGGACCTGCCTCAGCCAGGGAAGGTGAACCCCTTCCCTGGCTGTGCTCGCTGGCGCTACGGTGCCCACGGAGAGGTGCTTCTCACCTGGCCCCAATCTGCTGTAGTGCGGGAGGGCGGGAGTAGTTCTCGATCTCCAAGGCAGCCTGCATACTGAACCCTTCATCCCCAGCCCCACCCAGAGCAATGATTTAAAATGAAGCATGTACATTTTCATTTCATTTCCCAAAAACGAAAATTAATTGAATTAAGGACACAAGAAATGCCAGGTAAAACTTCTAGGGGTATGTCTACACTACAAAGTTAGTTCGAACTAACGAAAATAATCCAAACTGTAGTGCAGCAGCCAGATACTTTTTTCTTTTCTACATAAATATGAATTTTCCTATCAAAATTACTCTATTCAACCCTCAGCTCTTTTAAAATCTGATATATTGCAATCTCTTGGAGCTAAAAATAGCTTATAAAAACCTACTTTACAGTGTGTTGTTATGCATGATTCTGGGGACATCCCAGTGTTTAAGTCCTGAAAAATTATAGATGGGAAATCTATTTGAGATATTTTAGTGGTTTCTGAAAATCTGTTAGCTACAGTTTTCCTTTATCTCCAAGGCTTGTACTTTTGGATTTATGACTCCTGATTTCAAAGGCAAGGGATATTTAAAATAGCAACAATAAAAATAAAACGATCAGAAATATTGCTAAAATGGGGTATTAATAAAATATGACATGTACAGAATGTATGATGGTGTGATGTGATATTAAGCTTTTATTGGTACTGGTGGAAAGACCTACATAACTTATTTATGTGTTTACAGTTTATAAGTAATGTCATTATCCAAGCAGATGACGATTAAACCTTTATACCACGCCATTATGTATTGAATGTATATTGTCTTGTATTTATTAATGCCATGACTCTTTTTCCTTTAAAGTTTGTATTTCAGGGGTTGAATGATTTGTAGGAAAACAAAGACCTATCCAGTTGTTGAAAGTTTCATAGAATAGAGAAAATATATGGAATACCAACAATGTGTTTTCAGTTCAAATGAACCTTTCATCGCCATGAACTGTTATTGCCTCCTTAATTTGAAACTGTTTTTAGATCTGACATTAACAGTATACATAATTGTGTCTATTTTCCGATTAGTGAATGCCCACATATCACAATAAGTCCTGTAGTAGATAGATGTTATAGAACTGTATGTCAGATCATCTTTTATCCTATAGCCTTGCTACATGAAAGTACAAAATGGTCCTGTTAAGAGAGAAATTTTCCTGTTGGTTTTCATCATAGAACAATAGCATTTAGGGATAGAAATAACCTATTATGTCAACTAATGAACTTTCTTGTCCATACAGAATTGGTCTCCACTTGTACATATTTATCCAGTCAATATTCACTATTGTTTATTTAGCCATTCTAATTTTAAAAGACTGAGAGGAAAAGGCTGCCTTGGAAGACTATTCCACAGGTTAATAGATCATACTGTCATATATGTGTATGCTGAAGGTAGAATTTGACACTGTTTGTGTCATAGATCTAAATACACACTATTTCTTGTACATCTTGTATGTCAGTTTGTGAAAAGAGTTGATTTGGCTCACAATACTCCTGAAATGTACAGAATTCACAGTTTTCACATCTTGTGTGAAAGGGACATATTCTGGTCGGGCTGCGGCCAGATGGCTGCATCTAAACATTTTAGCGCCTCTTTCTCTGGCCTCCTATGCAACCTTCCCTGCTTTTATTAGTCAGACTTCAGGCATGTGCAGAGAACAAACAGCTGTTTGCTTGTTCTGCATACATTCCCAAGCCAGCCAGAATACTGGCCTATGCTAAGGCAGTTTTTGCAGTGTTAATATATGTTTTTATTAAGTGCTTTAGGCTCTGTGTTTGGCCAACTGAACCCTACTATGTAAGCAGCACTATTATTATAAAATATGTTGATGAAAATCATAACAAGAACAGAATATAACTGATCAGAAGGTTACTGTGACTCACATGTATGAGGCCTAGTCTGCTATCTGCTAAGTATACTATATATAAATAGCTACATTAGTTTATAACTATTACAGAATCTGGCACATAGATACTGCAGTGATGAATGTTCTACAAAACGCTAAGAGACGTTGGTAGATTTTTAAAAATACACAATGTGTATATTTCACAAGGCATTCTTTTGGTTTTGTTTTGTAGCCTAACAGCAGTGGTCAAGTAGTAGGAAAAGTGCCTGGCCATTTTACTCCAGTTTTGGCACCCTCTCCCCATCACAGTGCGGTGAGACCTGTGACTCTGACCATGACAGATACTAAACCCATCACTACATCCACTGAAGGTGAGGCATCTTCACCTACAGCAACCAGTAAGTATTTCTCTAGGAAACAAAAAATGTCCATCGAAGATTCAATATAATTTCAAATTAAGGCCAAAAAAGGTGCCTTTTCCTACTATTTGACCAGGTGGATGCTCATGATTTATACTGACCACAAAGCTTTTCCTTCTCAAATTTTAGTCATATCATCATATTATTTGAATTGATGTTTATTACATGACAACAAAAATATTAAGGGGAAAGCATATCTGTTTGAGCACCACCCACTGAGAAAAAATGAAACATGATTGTTCATCAAAGGTGGACATTGTAATGACATTGAGAAGCACATTCAGACTGCAAGGTTTCAAATCACCGACACTTGGATTCCAAAAAGAGATTAGATAATTGCTCCTCAATGAGCTTTCCTACAGAAATCAATCTTTGTTACAAAGCATACTGAATCAGAGCTATGATCATTGCATGTTTATATAGGTTGTGTAGCTTTAAAAAAAGATGCGGCATACAGAAAAGGACATTTTAATTCACTGCCCTTGATTCTGCAAGGGTTGGCTTAATTACATATTCTTTTTTAATGCCTGGAAAGTTTGCGCATCTTTGTACAACATGCTCAGCACCATATTATATATCCTATTATCTTCAATGGAATTGCAACCCTGGAAGTATGTGCAAATGTACATGCTAATGTCATTTGCTCATTTCTATCTTGTTTAAGCATTTCATGACCAATGATATGCAAAGGGTTAATTTTTATCTAGCTTTCTACACTTTCGTTAACAAAGTTGGGTACATATTGTTCCTGACCTTTTTAGGTGTATAGAGGGCCAACATTACTTAATACAGACTACTGGTAACATTTTTAGAAAATAGGCCTGATCAGACTGCTTAGAAAAGAAGATCTCTGAGCTGAAATGTCTATCTTCCAAGGGGTACTTAGAGCCTAAACTATGTTTAAGCCAAACCAAACAAACAAAAGTATGTAGCAGGCATAAAAGAAGAAGGATTTCTGTAGGATCAGTTACATGAAAATGGATCATTTTAGAGTGTGGTCTCTAGACATTGGATTATAATTAAACAAGTATTTAAATAGTATTCTTAAAGATATTGTTATTTTAAGCTCTTATTTTGTAAATTAAAATAGAGATTCAAATGAGTTTGAGGTTACACCTAGACTGTGAGGATCCATTGGAAAAAGATATATAACATGTGCACCGTATGTTGCGTATCTTTTTCCAATACTTTTGTCGGAAGAGGCTTTTCCTAATTTGGCCTGTCTAGGAAATTTTAAAAAACAAAACAAAAAACCCTCTTTCAAAAGCTCCCTTCTTCCTTGTGTAATGAGAAATACAGGGGCTTCCAAAAGAGCGCATTTGGTCTTCTGCAAAAAAAGCAGAAGAGCAAACACATTCCCTGGACGCGGCGGAGTTTTTTCAGGATACCTCTGGTATCCCGAAACCCCCCCACAGTCTAGCTATACCCTGAGCAAGTAACACATAAAGGAAAAATTGAATAAAATGTATTACAAAAGGAAATAACTAAATCCTAAAGATAATCTGGGTAAAACATCACTGTTTAATTATAAACTGATTAATAATTGATTATGGAAATATTTTAGCTATTCTATTGGGATAGCAAAAGAGGCTTCTGGAACTCTAAATGTAGGAGTGGATTAACACACTTCTTGCTGGTTTATGGTGCAAATTGTGCTCCTTTGAGGTGCTGCTATTTCTGATATAATCAGTGGCAGACAATAAGTTAATACTGTAGCCATTTACCTCAGGGTGGGAGAGGAACCTCCATCCAAATTTGGTTTGGATTATTGGTAGTTTCATCCTAGTTCTTGTTTATCAAAATCATACAATGTGGCACTGTTGTCTTATCTGTGCTCAAGAGAGACCATGGCCTGGAATGGCAGGGAGATCAAATATGATATCAGAGTTGCAGGAAGAAACTTGCACTCTACCTGCCTGCATTATGGCCTACTCAAGGAGTTTTTTTTAGAAGGAAACCAACCTTGTTTGTGCATTAATATTTATACAGGCAATTAAGGGTGAAGCCTGGGATTTTCAAAAGAGCCTAAACAAATTAGTACTCCATTTTTCTGAATTTCAGTGGAACTTGAGCACCTACATCTTTTATAGGTACTTTGATATGAGACATCTTTCTGCATGCAGAACATCTCTATCACTAGTGCATGTACATGAAAAGTCTTTGAGTGCACATTCCATTATAGTGTGCAAATTGTATTTACAAGTGGTAGCACAGAACATTACATGCACAAATGAAAATTTTCCAGTAACCAGAAAACAAAAGAAACAAAAATTGAAGGCAGGTATCCTGCTGTTGGAAATACATAAAGCTGACACTGATCTTGAGAATTTGGTCCTATATTGCAAATTTATTTTTAATAGGCAATCAATTATAAAAAGACAAAATGTTGTATTTGGACAATAATTTGCTGCAGATACTGCTTAACATAATGTAAGTGCTGTCATTGTTGCTGCTTAGTCAGTTTCAATCTATTTGGCATATTAAAGCAATTGATTAACACTGACTTTATTCTGAAATGCAAGAAATGAATTGTTCAGAACTAGACAGAAAACAGACGTAGATAACATTTCTGAAAAAGAACTCTAGCTCTGGAACCATGATTTATTTCTAATATCTGAACCATTTTTATAGCAATCTCTTAGTGAAAGGTGTTTGCTATTAAAAAGCCATGATAAAAATCCTCAGAAATTCAGAAAGATTTTGTTTTTCCTGTATAATTTTAACATCAAACAGCCAATTATCTAAAAACTTGTACCCAACTTCCTCTTTCCATTCTGAGTCTTCATATCCATTCCATTTTGGCAGCTCTGCTTTGACCACCAGCAAAGGTGCCAGTAGAAATGATGATTGTTGCAGTCTGGTCCTCTGCACAAAATGAAGTAGAGTGAGATCACATAAGTCACTAAGCACCATGAGAGGGTAATGACTTTTAGTCACAATTGATCGGTTCCATTTCTCTTTACCAATCTCTCGAGCCACCTGGATTCCTCTACCTATTTTTCTGGTTCTGCACCACAAAAGACAGAAATTTTACTGAAATCGCCTCCAAGTGAAAGCCATTTTATGGAGTTTAAAATACCTTGAATGTTGAATATTATGCTGCTCTGCAAAAGTTAACACCCTTCTCTGGTTAGTGCCGATCACATTGTATTCTTCTTTCACAGAACTGTAAAGATTAATTTCATGCCACATAAGCAAATCAAGCTTTAGGTCTCAATTTTAAATAACTAACCACTTTTAATGTATAAATGTTGTGATCAGCATTCACAAATAGAAGAATTAATATAAATTAATAGGTCTCCTCTCACTCATACCAATGTAACTCCTTTGATTTCATTTGGATGTTTATATTATTATAACTGATATGTATTGGTATAATATAACGAATATAAATTGGAGGTCCAGAAGTTAGGCTCATAACACTTTAAAATGTAGTGCTTCCTTTAACTTGTCGTAAAATTCTGCAAGCAGAGGAATTATTATTCTAACTAGAAGCCTAATTCTGACCTCAGATTCACACATGCAGCTTCCATTGAAGTGAATGGGAATTGAACATGCTGTGCAACTAAGGGCTGAATTTGTCCCAGTGTTTCTTTTGCGTTACCGATAAAAGAAATCCACAGACACTTCCTATACATTGCAAATCATAACTCTGGATCTCTCATATCTGTAATGTACATGCACAGTATAATAGTAATGACAGGTCGCTATTTTTTATCAATGTGTTTTGTTCTTCCTTAATCAGCCTACACAGCCTCAGGCACATCCCAAGCCAATCGATATGTGGGACTAAGCCCAAGAGACCCATCCTTCCTACACCAGCAACAGGTGGGCAAGTTTCACATAGGGGTAATGATACAGACAAGCTTTTGCAATATACCTTTCTAAATGCTGCCACTGACATCTTGGATTAGAATGGGATCCTAATGGTTTCAATAAGTCATGTGAAGACTAGAAATGCTAAAGACAAAAACCCCTCTAAAAACATCAGTATAGCAAATGCTTTTGTTTCTTAGATTTGTGCCACCTTAAGGAACTTTTTATAATGCCCCTTTAAATTACTTTCTTTTTGAAGAACTTAAAAGTAGATTTCATAAAAGGATATTAAGACTATGCCTGTGTAAAGTGTGCAAGAGACAAAATCAAGAATTCATTTCAAAACCAATCAAAATTAACAAAGATTAAACAGTATAAATTATGATTCTCAAGCGATTTCATATTTTCCAGATGTTTAAGCCTACATTTCTGCATTTTAGTTCCAGAAGATGTTATAAAGCCAAACTTTCAATGTCACACATCATCATTCCTAGTTTAAAAGGTTTAAATTGGTTTGCTGATTTCACTTGTGATAAAAAACACATTTTTGTTCTAGTTTCCTACATCATTTATGTTTCAAGTAGCATTTTAAATTTCACATCTCATTAATGCTGTAAATTTAATGCAAATGAAGTGTTTACCCAAACTGTGAAAATATACAGCCGAGATTAATGGTGGCTTATATACAAATTAGCTGCACTCAATAGCAGGGACATGCAAATACAAAAATCCCACATTGCTAGTAACAGTGTACACAAATTCAGACACTTTAGAATGTAAATATATTTATGAGGTATATATATGCTACTCCCAGATCCTGACAGTAGAAGAGTTTGAAATTCACACCACGTAAAATGTTTTTCAAGTTAAAAATTGAATATGGAAGAAAGAAAAGGTGTGCGAAGTAGTTCCTATTATTTATAATACTGTTTTTTTTCTCAGGATTGGGTTCTTATCGACAGTTGATACTCATGACTGTTTTATTTTAACTTACATGCTCTGAGTTTGTTGTGACATAGCTATACTGCTGCATATGAACCTCCCCCATTCCAAGGCCAAAGTGGCAGTATGTATATATTAAAGATCACCACATGAAGAGTTCAGAGAAAATCATATAGATGATAGTTTATTCAAGATAATTGATGTTTTGCCATCTTTGTTAACCAGTGAGTCCCAACTGAAAACATTTGTAAACAATTACGAAAATACCACATAACAGTTGTTTTTTGCCAACTGTTGGCTTATCACTAAATTTTCTGGTATTTTTCTTTATTCACATCTCTAGGATTGCTATAGTAAAAAATGTGTCATAATTTCTATAATATGGCTCTATTTGACAAATGTACAGTATGTGTTCATTGTATTTTTAAACATATTCAAGATTTATAGGGTTAAAACCTATTTTTAAAAAACATTTGCACACATTTTCTGAAATACTGTGGCTGTGAAATTTTAAATGCTATGTTATACTACGTCTCTGACATCCAGTTATTGTTGGGATTTGCAAAACAAATTTAAATATATTTTATTTTAATTTATTGAGTCTCTGTTTTTCTATATTCTATTTAATACTTTTTGTTCTCGAGAACATTCAAAAGTTATAGAAATTGTTTCAAATCCCTAGAAAGTACTTACAGCCAGCTTAATTTTCTTGTATCCTGTATATTTTTTTGTCTTTATAATATATTTTAAGAATGAATTTGGATAATTTCAGCAGTCTCATTAAACCTGTAACCAAAAGGTTCAGGAAAAAAGTAAGCTTACACATTTTGTGCATGCACATTTACACGTTAGTTTCAAACCTGGAAAATATGTTGTGATTCAAATCCACTGTGTGAATTGAATATTCTAAAGTAGAGAGTTGTATAATGTCAATATTTGTTGTTTATTTAAAGTATCAGTTTTTTACATCCATATAGTAGCATCCCTATAGCAATATATATCTGCCATGTATTCTGCATTTGATTTTTAAATTACATATGATTGTATATACATGTGTGCGTGCTTACATATATGTAATATTAGGCAATATTTGATACTGTTGCATGCACTGAACTTTAATCATAAAATAAGCTTTTTAGCCCTAGATAAATAGTAATTCAGTGTGTGTATGTGTGTGTGTGTGTGTGTGTGTGTATGTGTATATATATATATATATATATATGTAAAGTACAGTATACATAAAATAATTTAGAATTAACTAGTTGTTACCTTCATCATCCTAAATCCTAAAAAGCTCTCAGAGATGACAGTGCCACACATGTTTATTATCCAGAAAAGAAACCCACCAGAAATTGTCTAAATGACTTCAGTAGATAAAGGTTATCCTTTGGTAAGGCAGAAATGAGATTGATTTACTACATCCTTTCATTACTTTACAACAATTTAAAAGAGCACTTTTCTTGTGGCAGGTTCTGAATACATTTAGTTTAAAGCAGCCCATGATGAATGAAAAGGAAAATCAAGGGGTACATGAAATAAAGGCAATCAATCATTTTATATTAGCTGAGAGAAATTCTAAAGCAGAAAGCCAGTGGTTTTAGTTCCAGAAAGATCTTTTAAACATTCACTGTACCCTTTAATACACATTGACCTCTTAAGAATAAATATTGTCACAGGTAGGTTCTTTTACTTTGTTGGAGGGGCTTTATAGAGATTTATTCTTTCAGGTTATGGGAAGTATTGATGTATATTATTGAGAGTTTTTTGTTGTTGTTTAAAAAGAACCATAATGTAGCCTCTATAAATTATAGCAACAACCATAAATTTAAGCTGTATGTTATTTTGTGAATCTCTCTTATAAATAGACTTTTTAACAAAATAAAATGACAGTTCTTTTAAACTTCCAGTAAAATAATTTATGCACAAAATTGCTGGAATACTTACATTTATGGTGGGAAGCATTGAATATAATTTGGAAATATTGTGTGTGTGTGTCTGTGTGTGTAGCACCTTTGGGAGCAATGCATTTGCATTTACAGATCTGAATAGTGAGAAGAATATGCTATTACACATGTTACTTAGCATGCTACATTGATAATTAGAAAGGCAAGTTATGATGAAGCGTTATAAATCTATGCAGTATACATTTGTTGTGATCATTGGTTGGTGCTGGTTCTAATTGTCTTGAACGGCCAGGTATTTCATAATTGAAAATCAACAATAACACAACAAATTTCTCATGGTAACTGCATCTAGAAAGTCATCTACATAAGCAGTTCTTCATCAGAAATATGCTTATAAAGCATCTTATTGCTTTGTTGTAAAAAGTAGTCCATCCCCAAGCCCCCTAAATTGGCTATTATAAATTGTTAATAGCTACTTGATTAGAACATAAAAGTTTTCCTTAATTCATTAATCAATATGCAAAAGTTGTTAACTGTTAGTAATGGACTCATGTTTCTGGGGATGTTGCTTAATCTAAAGTCTCCTATTTAATCATTGTTCAAATGTTACCTTATAGTTAGAATTTTAGTAAGGTCTTTATTCTTAACTTTGTTGTGGGAAGTTGGTGGAGTGACTTCATGAACAGATGAATTCTGCATTGGCACACTGCAATCTCTGTGCTAAGAAATGTGTTGATTGAAATAGGAGTTTTGCATAAAAGGAAGATTGGATAATCTTCACAGCAGTATTGCATTATGTCTCCCCCCGCCTCCCTCTCTAGTTCATATACACATTGCTTATATTTGAATTGTAGCAGACACTAGAGTTTCATGGTTTCCAAGTCTAGACTCACAGAAAAAGTGAAAAATTAGCTGTGGAACAAGCTGAAGTCCTCTGAGTTCTGTGGAGTTGTGCCAAAGTTTGATTTGAATCCTTGTTCTTGGGAGTCTACAGTCATAACACAGCACTCATTAGTAAAAGAGTTCAGTTTCAAAACTCCATGTTAATGGACAACAGGGCAGACGTCTGATGGATGGACAGATGGCGTCCTGCCTTCTTTCCAGCTCGCACAGTGTCTGCTCTGGATTCCTGGATAGAAGGATGGAGGTATTTCCTTGGTCTCATTCAGTTTTTATCACTGAATTCACAAAATACAATAGGAACAATAGGATTCTTAGTATCTGATCAAAATTACTTCAGGATCTAAAGTTTTTATGCTGCCAAAAACACCAGGATTTTACCTATTTAAAAGAAGAAAATATTTCTCTCTTGTGTTAATTGCACGTAAAATGTAATGGCTTCCCAATTAGTACGCTTCTTATTAAAAGTAAATAAATAAGTCACTAGGCCTGCTCTTGATGTTTCCATGCATAATTATTTAACTTTTAAAACACTTTTGAGTTTTTAGAAAGAGTAAATGGGAGATTATTTTCATTCTTTCATTAAGAAAACATGCAGGCAAGCACAAATGTCTTTAGTGAGAAAGTTATCATCCTGTGATACTATTAAACTTTAAAACTTTACTTTATAATGTATGTTAACTAATCTTGGGGCTAATAACTGAGCTGCTAAATTCCTCAGATCCTTACTGTACTTAATATAACAGCATGGATTTCACTAGAGTTTTGACTCTAAGGGTGTGGTATCCATTATGCATGATTTTCACACAGCTTTGACATTTATTAAGAGGTCATGATACCATTCTATAATAAGAAATACTTTAGACATCTTAAATGTATTTTCATACTAGAAAACTGTTAGCAGCATTTTGTTCCTATTTAATTGTTTCCTCTCCACAAGATTACTCTTTTCAAGGAATTTCTGCAGTAGAAAGTTGTTCTTTCCATATACATCCTTTTAGTTCTTGCGTTATGCTGCTCAGAATGGAAGGCCCTTCATACCATGTGTTACTGAAAATGTAAACTGAAATGACCACTGAAAACAGGGTCTGTTTTAAAAATGTTTTGGATGCACATCACTTTTGCTTCAGGCAAAAGACTGAAAGAAGAACACAAGTGGACCCTTAAACAGAGCTTCTCAGTAAAGTCAGGAAACAGGTTATCAACACTTAGGCTGTTCTTATTGTCTCTCTTATCATAATTGACAGTTTGACGTAAAACTTGATCACATGACTGCCAAAGAGGTATGTAAATGGATAAGAGGTCATCTTTCACATATGCTTGCTGGAAAGGAAACACATTTAAAGGAAGTTTCAGTCAAAACAATGACGGTATGCAAATGTTTAGCTTTATGGGCTTTTCTCAGATAACAAAAATCATAGCAGTCTCCTACCACTCACTCAGTTTTTCAGATGCATGTTTATCTTTACTGATGATCAAAGGGGCATGAGATCAGAATTAATATTAGGTAATAATTTTATTGAAATATGACAATATAAAGCCTGTTTAAATATTACCCCCTAAAATTATTTAAAGGATTGAGTAGTGGGATTGCAACTCTAATGTAAATGTATTGTAAATGTCCTTGTCATATGTGATTCTGTGAGAGAGGAATTTAAAACATTTGATTGCGTGTCACACCATTCTGCATAAGAAACATTGTAGAGGGGAAAGCTATGTACAGATGTTCTAGAAAGCTTCTAAAAAGTTTGTTTGGGACAACTTCTTGAATCCCTTTGCTTGGGTCCCTTTGCTTAAATGCCAAGGTGCCATGGTTACCAAAAGTCTAGGGGGGGAAAAGGCAAACTAGTGGGACCTTTGGCTCTGGCTCAGGTTGCTTAGTGCCACTTCAGTGACATAAAGTGGCAGGAGAACTGTTGTAAAAGAAGAGCCAGATCTTCTTCTGGACCAAGGGAAATCCTTGGGTGGCATACAGTCTGTTTTGTGCCACTCGCTCCTTCATTCTCTTTATAGAAGGCCTTTCAATTTGATGTTCCAGGATGAAGGTGAAGTACGTTGTACTCTGATCCGTAGGTGGCATAACGGCATATGCAACTTGCATAATTTTAGTGCAGGCCCTAGGTGCTTATAAATTATATTGAGGCTTTTTGGCCTTTGACTGGATCCATAATGACCTAAAATAACACAGAAAAATCTTAATATTAAAACTCCAGTGTCCAAATCTAGAAGCAAGTGTTATGTATCCCATTACAGAGCTGGAAATCTCCTGTTTTCACTGGTATGAAGTTCCCAGGTGAGAGTGTGGGAAGCATAGACCTCTCAGCCCTCGGTAATCAAGGGCACATCTGCAGTAGGAAATTATTTTGAAATCACTGAATTAGAAATAATAACTCCTGAAATAACTATTTTGAAATAAACTTGTTCCCCGAGGAAAGTAGGAGCACAGATTTCGAAATAACCAGCCCATTACTTTGAAATAACAGGTGTGGTAGTGTGGACACTCCACTTATTATTTAAAAATAAGGGGGATTATTTTGAAATAATTCTCTAGTGTAGACCTGGGCTAATAGAACTATGAAACCCCTCTGGGCTTGCAAAGGTGACCTGAGTGTGCAACTTCACTGCTGTCTCCACATTGTCTGCTCCATTGAAATCTTCCTCCCCGAACTGAGGTTTTTAGGCACTCTTTTATCAATCCAGGCCATGAGTAAAGATGCCAAACCATTTCTACCCCAGCAGTGGCACAAGATATCAGATTTTAAAGTGATATTGCTATGGCTATTGTTGGCCCAGAACTAAATCTTAGGCATACGGGGGAAATTCTACATGAAGAGTTGGGAAGAGGAAGCATTTCCCTGGTAGGTTAATTTTGAAAACAAAATGGTGGCTGCTTGAAACTGCTCAGAAGTTTGGAACAGTAAACGTAAGCCACAGGGAAGTGGTTTAGAAGACAGCTGCTGCATTTTTAGGCTCTTGGAAGATTAATCATATGCTCCTCTAATTTAGCATGTTTATATATCTGGTGGGGCAGATGAATGGTACTATCCCAATTTACACTGTCTGAGGATCTGGCCATGTATGCATCTGTATATCTGTGTGTATGTATGCATGTCCAGTATATTTATATGTATATATATTATACATAAACCATAGTTACAATTATATGGATGTATGTGCATAATAAATAGAGTGTGTCATTAACATTTATGAAATAGATTCAAAAAGCCCTTGAAGTTTGTACAATTACACATTCAGGATATCTATTGTATATACTAAAATCCATATGAGTACTTTAGGGTGAAAATTACTGTTTATGCATAGTATCTGATTTATTAAATTGTAATGTATCAGCCATTTATTGCTTTACTCAAATACCAAGAGCAGTTAGGTTATATTACAAAGTAATTGTTTGTCAGATTTTTTAATTAGATGAGAACATAAAATCATTCAGTAGCAATAAGATCTGGTTTTGGCATTTCTATGGCTTATAACTAGTGGGGGTTTTGTTTGGTTGGTTTGGTCTAAATTTTGTAAAAAGGGAAAAAATGTTTCCATTTTTAAAACATTAGAAATCATGTTTCAACTGAAAGTGAATTTTATAACCAAGTCATAAGCCTTTAAAATATAGGCTTATAAAAAGAAAATGCTGACAGTGTGTTAAATATTGTAGCACAAATATAACCACTACACTTACTTGCTAGAGTATTTGAGGAGATATATTTTATTAGATTTCAAAATAAAAATACTGCTTATGAAACAGTTTCATATAGTGACTATGGTAAAATGCACACACCATACCTCTTCCTTTGAAATATTTAATATATTCTTTATAGTTAAACTCTAGGAAACTTTTTGGACTGAATGTTTCCTTTCCTTCTTAATTTAATGTAGTTTAGTCATGCTTATAATAGTCTTTAGAAGGTCTCTCAGAGTTCTTTAGCTAACAAACAAGAAACAAACCTTATGAAAACAGACTAACATTTCTATTTCTCAAATCTCAACTGCAGGAAACTTATGAGTGTAACAGTCAGACAGGGTCAAGACTGCAATATGGTCTTGTCTTTAACATATGTATTTATCAGGAAAGGGCTGTAGTTAATTGTGCTACTGTGTAAATCATTTCATTTAGTTTGTTTGCCATTGTCTGCAACTTTTAAAGGCACTTAAAATTTGCATGGAGAAAGAAAAATGCATTTTATGCAGTATATCTTAGAGTTCAAGTTATCTTTAATTCAAAGTATAGTATCATGTAAGATGAACAGTAATTTAATTATAGCATGGATATGCAGAGGTTAAAAACTATGCTTTTTGTATGTTTTCGTCTCAAGCCACATAAGTTTACTTTCTTAAACATAAAAATAAGCAGTATATCTTTTCAATAAATCTGCTAGCACTGTAGGGCAGCTGTTAAACAAACAGAGCTGTATAGGGTTACATGAACAATCTGTGAAGGGCAGAACTGATGATTTGGGGATCTGGGAAGAATTTGTTTCAGCTTACATTTAGTGCATTCCTCACTATATTTAAATGTAATAAAGTATTTTAAATGCTATTATTTTGAGTCTGGAACAAGATTAGATTATTTTATCACCTCTTGCTAAGTAATACCACTTTCAGTAACACTAAATTAATAAACCTCTATTATGAAATACATCTACCCTTCTAAAACAGTAAGATAGAGACATAAAGTTTGTGTAATTTGGGGACTTTTTCTATAATTGCATGTCTTCTGTATTTTACCAAATGCATGCTTCCAGATATTGATTATATTTTAACTTTACCCAGTACAGATTACTTAGTACATTGCATATAAAACACAGCATTTTGATTTTCTTTCTTAAAATATTTCACTATTGAACATTAACATTTTCTTTTATTCCAGCTCAGTTTGTAATCTAATAATGGCTAATTGTTATGTGCTAAACACTAGTTATTCTTTTATGCTTTATTAATAGAAGAGCATATTAAAGTAGCATTTTATTAAAATAAAAACAAAAATAGGAATTTTATTTTTCAGCATAATGGGGTTTATGTTCTTTTTGGGGGGGTTGTTTGTTTTTAAGTTACTTTTGGGGAAAGTAAGGTTTGTGCCATGTACAGTACTAGCTTGCATGTATTCATTTAAATACTAAAAACTGTAGTACTGCTCGATCCATATCTGACTGCTAGGTTTCAATTGACAGCTGAGGATTTGTGACTGGACCATGAATCAAAACGGCAGGCATTTATACCCCAGTGCCAGTGAGGATACATTGGGAATTACTTGGCAAAGGTAACATTTTAATTATTTCCAATGCTACACTACATCTAAAAAAGTTACATTGAGCTTAGTATCTGTTTTTAGCTGGCCTTCAGGATATATGTCAAAATTTAACCAAAACATATATGTATAACATTTCTTTAATACACATTTACATTATCTTTAATTTAAATTGAACGGTTAGAATATACTTTAGTTAAGCATCTGGGATGCCAAATGTTTGCTGTCAAGTGCAAGGCATTTGTAATTTTAAAGGACTGCAGAATTTAGGACATATAGTTTAAAGAACTACAGTAACATACTTTGGGGCTTACAGAATAATATGCAAAAGATGGTGTGATTAAAACAATAGGTGACTAATATAGCAATATATGCAGGTACTATTTTGAGAATGAATAATCATATTATCCATAGAACCAATTATATCTATCAAGCTTGGGATGTTATAGATTTAGGTCACTAGCATTCTCACAAAGGTAAGATGTAAACCATGTCTTTTATACATTAAAATACAAAATAATTAGAATTATAGTTATTTTCTTTGCATGCTAAAGAAACATTAGCTATTGATACAGAATCAATTACATACATATATATATATGTAAAATATGTATAATTGGGTAGGATAGTAGTAGGTGTGTGTGTGTGTGTGTGTGTGTGTGTGTGTGTGTGTGTGTGTGTGTGTGTGTGTGTATAAAAATAGATAATAATCAATTCCATTGTGGGATATCTCAGTCTTTCAGTTCTTTCAGATGCCCAATTCACTTTGACTTACCTCACTGGGGGGATTTTATATACATGCTGAAAAGCCCACAGATTTGGAGCCTAATAGACAAAGTAGTCTCTCCCCTACACTTATATCTCTTGGAGGCATGTGTATACAAATATGACAATGTATCATTGCTATCACTTTCCAAATAATTCATGTGCATATGTTTGTGAGCGTGTGTGGAAATATAAAATCTTGCTGTGCAATATGCTAGATGACATACCGTGTTTTCCGCTGATTGCTCAGTTTTTTAAGTATAAACTTGGAAATGTTTGATATTTGAATGGAAAGTTGGGTATTATATATGAATCCCAAATTTAAACTATTAAATCAGTATTGTTATAGCAATCTTACATAACAAATGATCTGCGACAGCTAAATTACTTGATTGCATGTATTTTCTGTACCTATTTCCTAATAATTTTGGAGTCTGGTGGGATTCTGAAATTATGTTGGAGCAGCAAGTGGCCAAAAGAATCATTTCTCACATCAGTACTCAGTTGCTACAACAAATGGGAAGTCGACTTAGTGGGTTCATCTCAGGTCCTCGAAGACAGTGATTCACATTATAAATCCCCATTGTATAGGTAGTTTTTATCCTTAGTTTTGTACTATCAAGAATGAATTCAAGTAAGCTATTGTAGCACAGAGTGTAACTTACTCTCCACACAGTCAAGAAGCTTATGAGCTAGTGATTGGGCCTTATCTTCAGGTGTTATAAATCAATGTAGTATTATTGCCTTCAGTGCAACTAGACAAGCCGAAGATTTGGCCCTGTGTATTGTGGACTTCAGTTGTCACGCTTACCACATGTGCTCCCTGGATGTAAATTGCTAAACAGGAAGACGGCAGGAGGGAGAAGACATGTAATCACAAATAGGTGGGGGTTATTTTTAAAATGTAGCCTTTTCGGATACATATAATCTTTTTAAACATCCGTGGAAAAGAAAACATGCAAGCATTAATGGGAGATACTATAACAAATAAACTAGGCAAATACAACTTAGATGGGGCTACTATAAGGTGTGTGCATAACTGGCTGGATAACCATTCTCAGAGAATATTTATTAACAGTTCACAATCATGCTGGAAGAGCATAACAAGTGGGGTTCCACAGGGGTCTGTTCTGGGACTGGTTCTGTTCAATATCTTTATCAATGATTTAGATATTGGCCTAAGTTTTCAGATGATACCAAGGAGGGAGGGATTGCAACTGCTTTGGAGGATCCTAAGTTTTCAGATGATACCAAGAAGGGAGGGATTGCAACTGCTTTGGAGGATAGGGTCATAATTCAAAATGATCGGGACAAACTGGAGAAATGGTCTGAGGTAAATAGGATGAAGTTTAATAAGGACAAATGCAAAGTACTCTACTCAGGAAGGAGCAATTAGTTTCACATGTACAGAATGGGAAGCAACTTTCTAGGAAGGAGTACTGCACAACTGAATCTAGGGGTCATAGTGGACCACAAGCTAAATATGAGTCAACAGTGTGATGCTGTTGCAAAAAAAGCAAACATGATTCTGGGATGCATTAACAGGATTGTTGTGAGTAAGATACGAGAAGTCATTCTTCCACTCTACTTAGTGCTGATTAGGCCTCAATTGGAGTATTATGTCCAGTTCTCGGCACCATATTTCAAGAAAGATATGGAGAAATTGAAGAAGGTCCAGAGAAGAGCAACAAGAATGATTAAAGGTCTAGAGAACATGAGCTATGAGGGAACACTGAAAGAATTGGGCTTGTTTAGTTTGGAAAGGAGAAGACTGAGAGGGACATGATAGTGGTTTTCAAGTACCTAAAAGAGTGTTACAAGGAAGAGGGAGAAAAATTGTTCTCCTTGGCCTCTGAGGATATGACAAGAAGCAATGGGCTTTAATTGCAGCAAGGGAGGTTTAGGTTGGACAATTAGAAAAACTTCCTAACTGTCAGGGTGGTTAAACACTGGAATAAATTACTCAGGAAGGTTGTGGAATCTCCATCTGTGGAGAGATTTCAAAGCATCTATCAGGGATGGTGTAGACCAGTGTTTCTGAAAGTGCTCTGTGAAACCACTTTGAGAAACACATTAAGAAACCACTTTGAGAAACGCCCTGTTTTGTTTATTTACTGGTGCCGTGGCCACGGAGGCTCACGGCTTCCATTGGCTCCGTTTCACTCTTTGCAGCCAATCAGAGCTGCGGGAATTGGTGGCCCAGCCCATGCCGCTTCCCGCGGCTCCTCTGGGCTGCAAAGAGTGAAACGGAGACAATGGGAGCCGTGAGGTTCCGTGGCCGCAGTGCCAATAAATAAACAAACCGGTGTGGCCAGTTAATGTGTTTCTCAAAGTGGTTTCACAGAACACTTTCAGAAACACAGGTCTAGACTGTGCTTGATCTTGCCATGAGGGCAGGGGACTGGACTTGATGATCTCTCAAGGTCCCTTCCAGATCTAGTGTTCTATGATTCTATGAAATGGGCAGTTTTCTTAAGTAAGCTTTTATATCATTACAAGAAAAAAATCTTAGGTCCTTTCTGAAGGTTTGGTAAAGCAGTATTTCATGCTTTAAACGAAAATAGAAAAGATTTCTTCCTCAAACTTGTTTGATCAGCATTTCCTCCATATCTGCAATACTCATTTGGATAATAGAGTGACTTTTATAAAAGCGGTTTGTGATTGTTTAAAGTTGCAACAACTAATGTTTTGTGATGCGCTGATTTTTGAGAAGTCTTTTTGAATATTTGTACTAATGGAGGTCAAAGAATTAGCAGTGCTTGAAAGTGAGGTTTTCTGTGTATGCATAGATCAGTTGATAGAAATGACCAAACTGAAAGTTTTCTCCATGCTTCACTATTGCGACCTTGCCCAACCCCAGCTTGGGGAGAGTCACCTTCTGTTATGGTCCCTATGCTTGTTCTTTGTGTGTACTTCATCTTATCTTTGGCTGCTAGTCATACCAAGCAGTGCTGAATGATCTATGGATTTTTAAACCAACTGCTATTTTTTTCTAGTAAAAGTATTTGTGAAGTAGTCTCTCTCTCTCTCTTTCTCTCTCTCTCTCTCTCTCTCTCTCTGTATTTATATATATATATAGTTCTCAAACATTAACTTCTAAAATCACTAGAGAAATACAACATGGGTTATACAAAACAAGAAACTTAGGTCATCGATGCACTTATTTAAAAAAAAGAATAATTCTGTGTGTGGATAGTTATATAAACTCAGATGTATACTTCAGTTGGTTAAAATAAACACATTGGTGTCAGTGAAGGAGAAATTTACATGATGAAACATCTGTTCCACATTCTCAACAATAAGCAAAACCAGGGTTTTAGTTTAATAATTGGAATACATTTTATTTTGTTCTTGGTACCATGAAAGCCTAGAATTGACAACATTTTCATTATCTGGTGACTGTGTATATAATGTATTTGCTTGTTCCACTAAACATTAGGACCTCGGTTCAGAAAATCATTTAAGCATATGCTTAAAATAAAGCACATAAGTAATCTAGTTTATATAATGCTTAAAATTAAGCATGTGCCTAAGTGCTTCACTGATTTAAGACCTTGTAGTTCATTCTTTTTGTTGTACGGATGAAGATAATATTTAGAACTTATGTAAACAAAGGTCATTCGGCTCTTTGCTAAGACAGTTGGAAATATTTGGAATCAAATTGCAAAATACAGTTCCAAGCACTTCACAGTAAACAAAAGATGTACATAAGTAAAACTTAAGCCATGTGTGTGGTGGGGAAGGATTCTGTGAAATATATAGGTTGAGTACTTGATCCAGTGCTGTTATTTACCCACATGGTAGTCACGTTGACTCCAGTATGATGAACAAAGGGATGTGGGATTGGGCCCTTGTATACTTACCAGTTTTGAATATTTCCCAAGAAGACTTTTTCAAATTGTAAACAAACTACTAGTGGTAAAATGTACATTTTATCACAGATATTGTTAAGTTTCCTATTTTTCTCAACTACTATAATTTATATTTAAAAAAAACGCAGCTGCTCTTAAGGGTTAACTCTTACTTTAACATTACATTTACGCTACCCAGGCAAATGCACTAGGCTAGCGTTTCCTGCCTTCAGTTTGTTATCTTGACACATAAGTACAGTACAACAGCTGGTTTGTTCCTGGAGCTCCTGAGGGGAGCTTTATTCTCAGAGTGCTGAATTTCCTTTTCAGCTTTAGCTGTAGGGGTGTTCAAAATGTTCAGTTTTTTAAGCAGCACTCTTTGCCCCTAGCGCTACT